ACCCAGGCTGAGAAAACCATCAAGTGTCTGCTCTCTAAAATATCCAAACACTTCTCTGAACCTGCTTTACCAAAGTATAGCTAACCTGACTTAGCCTTTTCTTAACGCATGATGTGAAAACAATGTAGGACATTGACTATGAAACTAGGAGAAACGGGTTTCACTCATAGGTCAATTTACACTGGAAGAAAAATCTTAGTTATTCACTGCATACCCCTCCCAGGCTTGTCACCTTCACTGCAATCCTCAGAGCTTTTTAGGGTAAACCACACACCAAGTGCCTACACAGTGAGTGCCCTGGTTCTTGTAGAAGGTATTCCATGAAATGTCAGCCTCCTTCCTGTCCCTTCAGTACACAATCTCAGCAGATGAGTTACTGCTGTATGCCTTAGGCTTGTCACCTGCTGTGAATAGAATGGGGCACTGGGCAGAATAATGTAACTCCAGGTTGAGCCCAAATATCTATAGATATAGAGATAGATAGATAGATAGAGAGATAGATAGATAGATAGATAGATAGATAGATAGATAGATAGATAGATAGATAGTTAGATATACTCTTTTCATTTGGCTTTCTTTTTTCTCATAAAGGTAGAATATGAAACACGAAGCACATTGACTTTGAAGCAAAGCACGTGACTTTGCCTATCCTTTGGCAAACAACTTCTCTCTTCCAAGTTGTTTCCTTTCCCTTCAAAAATCGGCTCCTATTCTATCTTCAGTTCACATTTCATAGATCCTTGTGCCACACTGAAAGAATTTGTGGCATTTTGTGATTGAACCTCCATAAAAACTTTGGACACTAAAGGCTTGTGTGAGTTTCCCTGATTGGCACATATTGTCACATATGATCAGTGATGTCGAACTCTTGTCATTTGCAATAACATGGGTTGAAATGGATGGGGTTATGCTAAGCAACATTAAGTTGGAAAGAGAAAGACAAATATTAGATGATTTCAGCCATATGTGGAATATAGAGAAAAATGAAACAAACCCTAGAAATATTATTGCAGAATTAAGGCTGCTAAAGGGGGAGAGAAAGTGGGGTGGGAACAAAAGGGGGGAGAGGGCCAATGGCCTATCATAAAGGACTGTGGGTGCTTTGATGTAGTGGGTGGTGTAGTAATGTACATTTGAGAGGAGTGAATCTATATCACATACAGTGCTGGAAACCAATGTTACCGCAATAAAAAAAGATTAAAAATTTGAAAGTAAAGAAAACCTGTTTCTCTGTCTCTCTGTGAACACCTTAGAGTAAGCGAGCACCATAATCAACACCTCTTCAATCTGAGCCATTTGTGTTGTGCTCCTTAGATTAAATCACACAGTTGGATCATGATCATATTCTAGTCTTTAAATGCTCTAGGAATTGTCTGTGGTTTCCATGAAGTGGCCCAGGGGTGTCTGGAGCACCCTGAAACTGTATCAAAGTTGTATAAATCACCCAACATTTTTCCACATGAAAAGGCTCCATGCACTTTGCTGTTGGTGTGGCAAAGCATTTAAAGACGTTTTCTTTTATTTTAATTTGTAAAGTGGGGTTAACTGATTGGCTAGGAATCCTAAGTTATCAACCATACATATCTATAGTTTGTGGAAAAAAAAAACAAACATTACCAAGACAAACTCTCCATACGCCCTGTGTGGTGATGAGGCTGTGAGGGGTGATGCCCTCTGCAGGGGAGGTAGCCCAGGGCATCACTGCAAGGTTGGGCCTTCTGACACTGAAATGGGCATCCATTTAGCTTCAGGTTGTCTTGATTTTGTATATAGTAACACCCTTCTGTTGCCACTCTTATCTGTGGAAAAGAGTGTGTGGCCTGGGGGGTGAGGGTGAGAGGCATGAGAACTATTTGGTTGTCTTTAGTTCAGTGCAATAGTTTGTTGGGGTTTTTTTTAAGGAATTTTAAAAAATATTTTATTTCATATAATTCTTACATCATTTTTCATTTTTGCACAATGTATGCATTTTCATTTTGGTTATATTCCCCATACAATTGCACCCCCCCTTATTTTGACCCTAGTCCTTCCTCTCTCCACCCCTCCCCACCCCAATAGTGTGTCTCTGGTTTATAGTTGCCTGTTGATTTTGATTTTTACTTTGTATTAATTAGTCTTTTTCCTGGTCCCTTATTTAGGTTTTCTAAATTCCTGCTATGAGTGAGACCATCCGGTATTTTTCTTTCTCTTTCAGACTTATTTCGCTGAGCATGATCCCTTCCAGATCCATCCATGTTGCTGCAAACTGCATGTGTTTATCTTTTTTGATTGCTGAGTAATATCCCATTGTGTATATGTACATCTTCTTGATCCAGCAATTCCACTCCTAGGTATTTACCCAAATGACACAGAAACGTTAATTCAAAAGGGCACCTTCACCCCTATGTTTATAGCAGCACTATTTACAATAGCTAAGCTAAGGAAACAACACAAATGTCCAAAAATAGATGACAGGATCAGTGCAATAGTTTTAAATTGTTTTTTAACAAACTTTAGAACTCTTCATTGTCAGCAAAGAACCACTGCCATCAATGACCATTCAAGAACATTCTGAACTAAACACAATTTGCAAATTTTCTTATTTTTTGGTATGTTTAGAATGCTAACATGTTTTTGAGTTATATAGTATTACATTTTTTAAGCTATAAAAAAACACACCTATTTACTCAGCTCACTAGAAGCATGCTTCAGCAACTCTTTGAACAATAACTGACTGACTTAACATCCTAAGGGCTGAAATTTAGCTGGGCTGATTTCTAACTTTGAGATCCATCTCCTTTCTTTCACTCTTTACATCTGTTACTTAAAAAATGATTTTTACCTTATACCCACAGTTTTCATTTCAGCTGCCAGAGTTGCCTCAATTATTAAATAAAGCATATTTCAAACAAGTAGCTCCAGGAAAGACAGTGGACAATAACCAAACACTTCAATAAGCCTCTGAAGAAAGACATTTAGCAGAAAAGTAAACTCCCCTCATCTTCAAGACCCAAATAACACCTTTTCTGTGAGGTTTTGCTTTGATGGTCCCCGTCGAACATGTGCTCTTTTTTATCCCCCCATTTTATGTTCTTCTATTATGCCTCCCATCGCAATGCAGATATATGATTATGTATATTATTTACTCTTCCACTAAGATCTGAGCCTGTGAAAAAAGGCCCTTATTTTAGCATAGAAGAAACTAAACATAAGTTGGATGAAACAAAACTAAAGAACAAAACTTCATAGAGGAGTCTGTATCTGGATTTATATAGTTGGGTAGGTTCCAAAGGAAAACAGATGTTCTCCAGAGATTCCTGTAAGTTCTACAACAGTTTTAGTGATGAGCAAATTTGGCTTTCAAGCCATCACATTCTAATCTAAATTCTTGAGACCCTGACTCTGAGGTATGTGTGGAAGACAAGGTGCCAAGATGCTAGACTTAGCTTTTTTTAGTTAAAAAAATTTTTGTTCTTGTTTTTAAGCCAATAATACCAGGATTGAGTCACTGAGCTTCAGCAAGAACAGTGAAATTCAAGTTATCTGCAAACTCTTTCCCATTTGATAGTTCTTTAGGACATTTAAAAACTACACCGGGAAGCCACTGAGATAAGATTAAAATATAATGTTTTCCGGGTCATATTTAAAATCAAATTGCTTTACCTACCTTTTCTATAGTTTAGTTATAAAAATCAAACAGATGTGTAACTTTGTTGGAGGTAACATTGATTTACAACACTGCTATATAATTCAGAGACAAAGGTTCACAGCTTTTAGATGTAAGTTACCACACCACATCCACCACCAAGGTCCTCCACTGGAGTCGATTGGGCCCCTCCCTCCTCTGTTCTCCATCTCTCTCCCCACCCTCTGGTATTGTCAATTTTACAGTCAGATTTCCATGGTTTGCTTTTGGTTTATTTTTGTCTGATCCTTTGTTTTGTTTCTCTATATTCCACATATAAGTGACACCATCTGATAGTTGTCTTTCTCCTTCTGACTTATTTTTCTTAGCATTATCCCCTCCAGTTCCATGCATATTATTACAAGTTCACATTTTTTTTTTAACTAAGCAATATCTTACTGTGTATATACTCCACAGGTCCTTAATACACTCATCTGTCATTGGGCACTTGGGTTGTTACCATAACTTGGCTATTGTAAATAATGCTGCAATTAACATAGGCATGCATATCTCATTTCATATTAGTGATTTTTAAAAGGTTTTGGGGCTTGGGGGGCATTCTTTGGGTAAATAACTATAAGTAGAACTGCTAGATCACATACAAGTTCTATAACAATTTTAGTGATGAACAACTTTGGCTTTTAAACCATCACATTTTAATCTCCACAGTCTTCTCCCTAAGGGCTGGATCAGTCTATGATTTCTACTAACAATGTATGACCATTCCTTTCACTATACCCTCGCCAATACTTTTTGAAGTGACAGTAAATGGATTTCTTTCTCTTCTAGTTCATTGTTTGCATATAGGAATGCAATTGCTTTTGTAAATTGATTTTATAACAGATGAATTTACTGTACTGATTTAATACTTCTAAAAGTTTTTTAGTATAGTCTTTAAGGTTTTCTAGATATATTATGTCATCTGAAAATAGCAATCATTTTACTTTTTTCCCAATTTGGATTCCTTCTGCATCTCTGTCTTATGAAATACTCAAGCTAGGATTCTAGTAATATGTTGAAAGCTAGTGATGACAGTGGACAACATTGTCTGATCTTAAAGGAAAAGCTTTCAATTTCTCAGCATTTAATATAATGTTAGCTGTGGGTTTGTCCCTATATAGCCTTTATTATGTCTACCTAAGTTCCCTCTATCCCTATTGTTCAAGGGTTTTTAATCATAAATGGATATTGAATCTTGTCAAATGATATACAAAAATTTTTTCAACAGCAAAACATATAACAACAAAAGTAAATAAATATCAAATCACAAGGACCATCTCTTCTGCTTTGGTGCAGTTAAAATGTTTAGCCTCTCAGATTGCATTTAGTCCCATACCTGTCCTGTGTAAGCAAACTCCAGAGCTTGCTTCAAACCAAGGCTGGTCACACCATGTAAATTCACTTCATCAGCTCCACTTTCCACCATACAGAGACTGAACATTGCCTAAAATGGAAGAGAAATGAAGAAAAACAGAATTATGGAACTAAAAGGCAAGGGAGTAAGACAAAGTCTTAGAGTGGCTAAGAAAGAAAAAATTTTATAAGTTTGAGACTTACTTTTGTTTCTGAAATACTTCTATACAACTTCAGTCATACAAACATCTGAAAATCTTTTTGCTTTCTGGCAGCTACAGTAATACACATATAGCACTGAACACTTCAGGCACAGACTCATTTAATCCCACAGCTGTTTCTTGGTATAACTGGATTTAACCCACTCATTCAACTCATTCTCTCAATTCTACAGTCTCATTATGTAATATACAGTAATCCTAAACACTCACCAACAGAACATGGAAAGTGGCAACTTCGTCTCCAGACTTTTCTGCCTTTTTCTGTCTCATTTCAATTCAACAATTCTCCTCTCATCTGCCATATACCATTCCCTCTGTTCTAGAGGTTTTCAAAATGTGATCCCTGAACCAATAGCATGAGCATCATCTGGGAACTTATTAGAGTGTAGATTCTCAGGGTCCTAGACCAGAACTTCTGCATCAGAATATCAGAGTAGAGCCTAGCAATCTGTGTGATAATAGGTCATCCAGTGGCTCTCATTCTCACTTGAATTGAGGAGCACTTTTATTTGGTAAAAATCAACTTTCTCCCAAACCAATTACCCAAATGGCCAACTTACTGAAAATCAGTTCTTTCATTAGACATTTGGTATGTCAAATGAAAACTTAGAAGTTAAAAAAAAAAACAACGAAAACTTGCCAAATTAAACAAAGGCATGGATTTATAGTCCCTCCAAAATAAAGACCCCAATTTGTACACTTTCTATAATTTGACATAACAGAGGTAAAGAAAAAACTCAATTTTGGTTAGTGATTAAGAAATACACTATTTAGAAAAGTATAGTACCCTGTTTTACAATAGTCTATAGTATAATGTTTCGTGTAGTGAAGAAATATCTAAAGGGATTATCCAAAGGGATTCCTGGGCCTCTACCCGTGACTTAGAATATGCTACCTGATAGGAGTGTCTTTGTTTGCCTTGGAGTTTTGACAAGTGACATTCTAATGACATGATTTATGATGGGAGATTTGGCCACACTGTATTAGTTCTGACCTCCAAAGTAACTAGACATTAAAATATTAACCTGACTTTCAGTAGATGCTTGAAATAAAAGGTCAGACACACAGACAGGCTGTGAATGAGCCCCAGTAAAAACTTAGGACATTAAAGACTAGGACTAGCTTCCCTGGTTGGTAGTCCTCTATGCACACTGTCACATAGCAAGAGGAGTAACACTGCCTAGGACCCCTAAGGGGATAACCAGAAATTCAGTATTTGGTCCCTTTCTACATTTTTGTGTCTCATCTTTGGTTTGTCCTAATTATGAATTTCCCTGTAATATGCCCCATCCATTAGTAAAAATGAATTCAGTGAATTCTGTTAATGTTTCTAATGAATTATAGAACATGAGAATAGTTTCAGGAATTCCTTTAAATTTGCATTTGGTGGCAGAGAAAGAGGAGTTTAAGGGAACTTGAATATTCTGATAAAAGACTTACATCTTTTGGGCCTCACCGGTGGCTCAGCGGTTGAGCGCTGGATTGTGAAGATGCCCACAGCCTCTGCAGCGCCAGTTAGATCCCTGGCCACCGGGTGAGGGTCCCACATGGCACAACAGACCTCTCTGCCGCCCGCTGCTCCCCTCAGCAGTATACTTCGTCAGTCTGCCTGCTCTGCTCTCCTCTCTGACTCTGGTGAATTCTCTTACCTTCCCACGCTTCTGACTGTACCCAGTGCTTGTATAAATAAATAAATAAATCTTAAAAAAAAAAGATTTAAACAAAAAAAAAATTTCCATCTTTTGGCAGTTTTTAAAATTTTAACAAACTATTTTTTTAAGATTGATTTATTTATGCATACAAGAGCTGGGGTGCAGGCCAGAGGTATGGGGGGTGAGAGGATTCACCAGTGACAGAGTGGGGAGCAGAACAGGCATATCTACTGAAATACACTGCTGAGAGGAGCAGTGGGGGAGTCAAGAGATCTGCTGTGCCATTGTTGTCACCTCCCTGACGGGATCAAACTCGTGCTGCAGTAGCTGTGGATAGCTTCATGGTGCTGACGCTTAAGCCCTTGTGCCACCAGGGAGACCCCAACAAACTAATTTTTGATTCTCACAATTCCATATATTTCAAATTAAGATGTATAGAAGTAATAGAATTAACTGATGGTCCATTATCGTTTCTAGAGATCCTTATTTCCATCTCATTTCTTTAGAGATTTTTTTAATTTTGTAGGATTCTCTTTAATAACTAAATTTAGAGTTAAAATTTTAACTGTTAGAAATACAAAAATTATCACTCCCTTGTCATCTGAGGAACTTCCTAATGAATATGTTAAATGCTTACAATCTGAGAAAAAGAAACCACTCAAAATATTCTGAAGACATTGGGAGTATTAAACATGTGATACATGCAATTATATTAAATAGCAAACATGCAGAAACTTTCAGCTTTTGAAAATTTACCCTCCAAAATGAACACTCCAGTAGAAGCTGTTAAAGGCAAATGAGTCAATATGGTCAATTTGGCAACTGGGTTAGTGAGTGATTTGATCTGGATTTTCACTGATTCCTGATCAGGCAGTTAAAGTACTATGTGGTATGTTAAGAACATTCAATCTTACGTCACATTGGTTTGGTGGAGTGATTAAGACAAAACTTAGAACCAAACAATTCTGGATTTCAACACTGGCAAGTGACTTTGCACAATAAGTAACCTCTTCTCGACTGTTTTCTTATCTGAAAAATGAGGCTAAACATTGTACCCATTTCACGAACTGCTTTGAAGATTATATTGCTGCACCAATAAAGTATCCAGTACAGTGCCTGACATGATAAACAATTAGTAAAATTTATATTCTGCAACAATAATGAAATAAAATAAAATAAATAAAGTGAAATATATGAATTTCTTATGTACTAATATCTTAGAGGTAGCAGTTAAAAGAATCTATATGTTAGAAGTACCACTCTTATTTTTTGAGTGGTTGTGGAGAGGAATTAAGTGTGCTATAGATTAAAAAAAAAAAAAAAACCATGCTAACAGGAAATTGACTCTAAAGTTAAATGGATTCTGTTTATACACATGTAGAAGACTTGAAATTCCAAAATTAAAAACCACAGGTCACAATAAAAAAATCTTTCAATTTCTATAATTCTGAACTTGTTTCTAGATTTTTTATAACCACTTAAAAAAGAATTAAAGAAATTTCAGTTGCTTTTATTATCTTTTTTTAATTATGTGGGTGCTCCAATTTTAATATTCCCCACACTAATTTCTTTTTTGAGATCTTCCAAGCTGCGATTGCACCTGATATGGTGACAGCTGCTCTCTACCAACCCTGGAGGCAGAGCAGGACAGAAATGACTCAGGCTATCTGGATTAATGAAACAAAACATCCCTGAGATCAAAGGTTAAGTAACAGAACAAGTTGCCAAGAGAGTTTTTTGAATCTGCTTTCCTAGAGGTCTTTCCAAAGCCAACAGGGCAATGTTAACATAAGACAAGGAAGGATCCTCAACTATAGGATCCTGGCCTTGGTAGAGTTGAGAGGGAACACAATCCCTTAAGCAACATACATACTTGCGTGTACAATTTTGTATAAACAATAAAAGATCAACAAATTTGTTATGGTAGATACATTACACGCTATGACTCCAGGAGAAGAGACAGACATAACTATGATCTAGATGTTAACAATTAACATGTATTTTATTACCTGTGTTTTTCTTACAAATGCCTTTTAAAAATGTTGTTTTATTTTTAAGATTCAGGGTTATGTAGGAAAACATACATATCCAATTCAAATCTTGGTTTTATAGCCTACTGATCTTGTGGGCAATTTTTCTTGAACATATAACTTTTGGCTAATTTGTTAATTTCTCTGAGCCTCATGCCCCTTATTTGTAAAATGGAAATAACACTATATTGACAGGGTTGTCTTGAGGTATAGAAACAATTATGTTCAATGTCAAGCATAATACCTGGCCCATACTAGATGTTTAATAGATATTATTACATTCTAAGTCAAGCTGATTGTTCTACTTCCCCATGTCTTCCTTTGAGCCCAACTGAAATGATAGCTAAGAAACAGCCTCCTCCACCCAACTTCTGCCTAAATTTATTCCTTTCAAATATTTTTTTAGAGTGACAATTCTACTCAAAATTCCAACATCTGATAGCAACATTTTACTTTCACCACTAATTTTATACCCTACTTTAAGGACTGACCCCATCATAAAAGTCATCATTACCATTTCTATAAACATGTAACTTCCATTCGTATAGTACCATCTATTGTAGTCCTCACTTCACGTCATTTATAGGTTTTTGAAAACTATGACTTTATGCAAAATAAAGCATGTATAATAAAGCAGGTCCTCAAATAACATCCTTTTGCTCAATGTTGTCAGGAGTATTAATTTCTCCTGTAATGCAATGACAAATGAAAGAAATGTCTTATTTAAGAAACTGCTATAGTCTTGGAAACAGTGCTACAAATTGAACATACCATATTTTTTTTTAAATTGAATACATTAGTTAAGTAAAATATTTTTTAAAAAGGAAATTATTAGATCAAGGTCAATGTCTTGGGTTAAATTTACAAGGCACCTCAACTAGGAAAAGCCTCACTGTATACCACCGAAGTAAGGAAGAACCTGGCCATTTGACTAGTGAAACACCAGTTGCCTAGGCTTCCCAGCCTTACAAACAATGTCTGAAGACCTTATAGAGGCCATAGCAAAGAACACAACCTCCTTTGGAGGTTTTATAAATGGTTTTCAATTGGAAAGGCATATATTTTGCTTTATGGAGCAAAATAAATGACGAGATCAAGGATGCTCTTTTAGCATGAAAAGTAAACTGGAAGTTTCATGAAAACAAGCACCATGGCTTGCTCACTCACTGTGGGGTTCTTAGACCCTTG